TTTGAGATTAGAGGTGAGATTTTAATATTGGAGGCTCTTTTCATTTAAAAATTATTATTTATGGTTTAATATAATTAACATTATAAAACATGAGGATTTTTTGTTTTTTTATTTTTATTTTTTAACATTGGAGAGTTTGGGGATGCGGAAATTTTATCAAGGCATTGGTGGGAGTTGAACTCCCAATCAATTATGGACCTGGCAATTTTTTACCTAATTCGTTAATCCGCTCATTACCCATCCGTTTAAAACGGGTTAGGGTCATATATTTATGACCCATAACCCGTTAATGACCCGTTAAGAGAACCTAACGGGTCATGGGTCAATAACGGGTTGACCCATAACGGGTTGACCCATCAGGTTAACGGGTTTGACCCGTTTATCTGTTTAAAAATATAAAATTTTTTAATTTATTATTTATTTATTTTGTTTTTCAATTCCCAATCCCACCTAAACCTCTAATAATTTACTAATATTTCTTAATTAATTAATTGATTCTCTTGACTCATCATCTTCTAAAAGTAAAAATAATCCCACTCCACTCATAACTCACATCCCGATCTTTCCTATTCTTACTTGCTCTAATATTCTCGAAGACTCTCACTCTTCAAACTTCAAACTCTTCTCATATTCTTCAACCTCCATAGTTCATATAGTCTTTGACTTTCAAGTTTCGACTCCACATTTTCTCTTTAGTTTTTAACATTATTTTAGACTTAGATCTTAGTCTTATTGAGTCACCGTTGCGTCCATTCAGCATTTTTTTTTTCTTCTATGAGTCTGGCAAGTACTCTTTTTGTCACCAAATTTTCTCTCTAAATACTTCAAGGTAAGTTGTTTACTTATTTATGCTTTTTAGTTTTCTTTCCATTTCAAGTAAAAAATTTACTTGATTTTCTCATTTACTTACTTAGATGCATTCAATTGATTATTCTTTGAAAGCAATGATCAAAACAAATATGTTCCAATGGGGTTTGTGTTTTTTGGTTGTCATGCTACTACTGCTTTTTTGTTTTTTGCTATTGAGATTTATAAGTGTTGTGTTCTTGAATTTGATTAGGGCTGTTCTTTGAAGGAAAATAAAGAAGGTGATTCTGAGGAACTATAAATATGTATATATTAAATTAATAAAAAAAATTATTTTTATAAGATGTTGAATTTCTTTTTTAAATCTTTTGAATAATTTTCTTTGAATGATAATAAGTATAAATTATAGAGAAAAAAAAAGGAAAAAAAATTTAATTTGGTCAATCAGCGGGTTGACCCGTGACCCGTGATGGGCGGGTTAAGGTCTGTCTTCATTGACTTGTGACCGTTTTAACCCAATCTGTTTTGACCCGTTACCCATTCTGACCCGACCTTAACCTGACCCAATACGCCCGTTTGCTAGGTCATATCTAAGCATTTAAGGTTTAAAGACTGGACTCAAAAATCCGATTTAAGGTTATTTTGAAAAACTCAAAGAGAATTCATGGAAGAATAATGATTAATTTACATTTTAATTTAATACAATTATTAATAAATTATTGTTTTTAAAATTAAATTTAAAATAAAAAAATTTTAATTATAAAATTTAATAATTGAATTAATAAATATTAAATTGAAAGAGTATTAATTATTTTTTTTTCCAAAACATATTTATTAATTGACAAATATTCTTAAAGCAAAATCCTACGTTCAGCCCTTTGCCTTGTTAAGTTTGAAGGTTTTAGTTCATCACCTTATATTATGATATTTTTAACCCCTCATCTTATTAGATTTATAGATTTATAAGTTTATAAGTTTTAACCCCTCACCTTATACTATTATACTTTTAGCCCCTCACCTATTAAAATTGAAGAAAATAACCCTTACTTTGTAACATTTTGTTAGTTTTGTTAG